GTAAACATTTTCTGAGGCGCAGATTCTGAAGGATGGATGTCTGAGCCTAAATCCTCTACTCGGTAATTCCACCACCCTCCTTCCCCCCCAGCATCTATCTTAAGCTGAAGTCCGATTCCATCTCCAGTGACACCGCAGACAAAGACGCAGACAGAGAGAGCGAGACACAAACAGACTCTGTGTTTGTGTGTGGTCGGCTTTCCATTAAATATTAATGGCCACAGGACAGAGAGCTCAGCTTGGACTCATTAAAACCGAGTCTTTTAACGCCGTTCAGCTTCAAACAAAGTCTTGCAGAAGCTGAAACTCAGAGTCTACTGAGCCATTTGGACACGACAAACAGAGGTTGGTTTTTTTTCCTGTCACTTGCATCAGTTTTTCAACACTTTCAAATAGTTTCCTCTGTGATGCATTCAACTAGTTGCAGAAAAAACCCGACATCTGAGGCTGGAGACACCTTCATGTGTTTATGACACTGTTAACTTTTAAACAACTCTACATTCCAACTCTTGTATCTTTAATTTTGGGACTTCCTGCAACTGTTAAGTGTTAACCTGTGCTCAACACACTGGCTTATCTACCTGGTTTAATGTCTCAGCCTGATGATTTTCATGAGGTATATGAATAAACAAAAACATCTGGAAAACAGTAAAAAAATATATATATATAGTTACTGTATAATATCATTCCTAAGGTGGCTGAAGAAGGGTGAGAGAACAGAAGTTGAACAGAGCGCATCAGCCACAACATTAAAACCTGTTGGGGGCATTTTACACCTGAGTTCTAACCTTGAATAAAACAACAAACAAACTGCTGGCTTGTCCGCATATTTAATATTGTTTACAGTGTAGAGAATGGAAATGCATCATTACAGCCTCACTCCTCTCTCCCCCAAAGAGGAAGTACAAATGCAACAGCATTTAAACTCTTTTCCTAGTGGCTCGTTCTAAATAGGCTCTAAGTTTAGACCTTATGGTACCATGTTTGAGTCCATCTTTCCTAAATCAAAAACCATTCAGGGGCGTAAACATATCTTCTCTGGTTGGTCTCAGACTTTAATCTTTTTTTACCCCTGAGGTAACTCTTCCATAACTAAGTATATAAATAATAGTTCCCCAACAACGAAGATACATGCACATAAAAACTAGACAATAAATGAGAAACCTAAGAGCTCCTGGTTGAATTTGTTTTCACAGAAACACTCACAGGTGGAGAAAATAATGTGAATTATCTCATTACAATGCAATGTTCTGCTGGGCCATCATGTGGATGTTACTTTAACACGTACCGCCCACCTGAACATTGTTCTAGACCGAGCACACCTGCCCACATGGCAACAGCGCTTCCAGATGGCAGCAACCCTCCCTCAGCGATCACAACACACAAAAACCGCTCAGGAGCAGCAAGAGGAACACAACAAAGATCCTGAGGTGTCCATCCAACTCCAGAACGAGCCCAATCCACAAGGCACCCAGCAGGAACAAACAATCCACTGCCAACGTCCTGATGCCAGACAACACAGGACACCCACTACAAGAAGGAGCTACACCAGGGATCTCCAACTCCGGTCCTCGTGAGCTCCTGTCCTGCAGGATTTAGATGTTATTGCAACACACCTGACTCACATTAATGGATCTCCAGCAGCTTGTTGTCAAGTTCTACACAAGTCTGTTCATGTGAGTCAGGTGTGTTGCAGTAACGTCTAAAACCTGCAGGACAGTAGCTCACGAGGACCAGAGTTGGAGATCCCTGAGCTACACAATATTAGGGTGGTTTTAATGTTGTGGCTGATGTGTGTGTCGCAAAGCATGTAGGTAGTGTAATTATTAATATGCATTCAAATTGTGGTCAGATCTCCTAAATTTTAGCTAAAACATTACTGATTTTTCTGTAGATGTACAATCATAAGAAGCTATGAACCTTTTACTTTGGTAAAATAAAAAGACTGCGCTACCCTTCACACGGGGAGGGAATCCCTGTTATTTAAGAAAACTCGACCCACAGTGCTTCCCCACAGATCACTTTCTCCCCTGAGCGTTCTCCTCTAGCAGGTCGGGTCAAAAATACCATTTAACATCTCTGAATAGCATCAGCTCTTCACCTCCAATGATCACATTTAAATGTTGCCGCAACCTGAGAGAAATGTGGTTCATTCTCGCACCGGAAAAACCACCAAACACTGTCTCCAAGTGGACATACAGGTTTTTCAGACGTCTTTACGCATCCACATACAGGCAAAAATTAACTCCGTCATCAACTGCAGTAGCACACATGTTGTGTACATGCTGAAATGTCCCTGTGGTCTGGTGTATGAGAGCTTTAAAGATTTACATATTCAAACACGGGACTGCAACATGTACACAAAACACGGGTTATGTTATTGCCCAACATTATTTGGAGGCTAAACACGGCTCTGCAGCATCATCGACGTTGTGGGATGTAGAAAAAGTCAACAACTCCGCAGAAAGGCTTTTTGGATCCATACTTCAAACGCAGTGAAGCTCTTTGGCATTAATGTAAAATGCCAAAATGCCAAAACTGAATTTGTCATGTTTCCTCTGAGTTGTCACACTTGACAGATGTTTAAAGCTCTACTTCTGCACCTTTATCCTTGTAACTTTGAGAGAAGTTTGTTTTGTCGCTGACACGACGAATTCCTTGATTTGTCGTGTTTCCTCTGGTTTGTCACCTTTGACAGAAGTATGTTCTCATAGTTTTTTTTTTATTGTTTTATACCTCTATCTCAGTAGCTTTAATAGAGGCCTGTGTTGTTGTGTTTCTGACAAAGGCTGGATTCTTTGTTTCTGTCATTTTTCTTTTTGGTTTAAAGACGAACTGCAGTTGCCCTCATGACGTACATTCTGTTTCATGCAGCACACATACAACTGGCACAGAATATTTCTTCACAATAATGAACTTTGACCGACGTAATCTGTAAAGCAAAATAGGCTCCAACTTGTTTTTTTACTCAAGTACGACACGGCAACATCTGTGATGTAACTGTGCAGAGGATTGCGTGTCAGAATGGCCAGAAAGCATGTAGTCTTGCATACATCAAAATCAGGCCAGATGTTGTAAAACGTCTGGACATTCTTGTTGAAATACCAGGTATCTTCTCCTAGCATATTATACAGTATGTTAGTATGGATACAACCACAGTGTGTGGGCTGGCTGACTATATGGCAACTCCCAACCGTGGATTCATCATCCAATAGATCTGAAACTTGATTCAACCAATAATGCCAAATGTGGTTTTGGTGAAATATACCTGCTAGCCCCTCATCTCTTGTACCATCTTGTACCAACTCCTCTAATCGTATCTTAATTCCTCCCCCCAAAGGTCAGAGCAGAGGAGGCGAGGAAGAGACATAAGGAGAGTCGGGGCAAACAGGTATTTAAAATAAATCCTCACCTCTGAGCTGTTGTTTCAAAGCAGCATCATTTAACTGTGACGTGTGACACAGCTGGAACATCTGTACATTGTCTTGTTATAACCTAACAGTGTATTTTATGATTAGATGAGCAGAACAGTGCTGGTGATAATTTACAGGATATATTTACTTACAATTCAATCACAACGTGGAAGATTGAATGTGATGATGTCGTACATTTTTAGTATAAAAGAGTCTTATGACGTACATTATTATACGTGATACATATTATAGACACACATTCGTCAGTCTTGCTCCAGACATAGTTTGTATATTTCAGCTGTGTGTCGTGAATCTTTTATGTCACAAGTGCAGAATTAAACCAAAGGAAACTTTGCGGATCTATTTTATGAGGCAGGTGTGTAAGAGAAGGACGAGTTTTATTCAAAAGTTCCAATCAGACTCCTGCACACTGTCTAACTTGCAAGGATGAAGTTATTAGTGCGACGTTTCAATGCTAGATCTGACACAGGCACAAAAAAAAGAAGACTTCACCGAGGGCACACTGATGCTACACCTGTGCATCCTCGCTTCTATCTCCTCTAATAAACCTTCTTCTCTCTTCGAGGTGCATTTTAGGAATCGAGGCGTCCTTTGTGGCGCCACACAAAGATTGATTTCTGGGTGACAGGCAGGAGGACGGAGGAGACAAGGAGGCTAAAATTAGTGAAATGAGATGAACCTTCTGGCTCTGACGGAGACACAGTAGCATTGAAATGTTTGCACAGTAAAAGGCTATGAAGTAAGCTGCAGCCCCCGTTTTGTTCTCAGCGTCGCCCCGAAGGTCAGACGAAGGTGTATTATTGCATGCAGCATTAATAGAAGTGATCGAAGCTGGAAATATTTCTTTGTTTCCCTTCGGTATGACTGCAGACTATTGTTTCGTGTTTGAAAAAAAAAAAACCCTCACATGTTGTGTGTTAGTTCTCTGTGAGAAGAAAGACCAAGAAGTCATTCATTTGCAGCAGTTATTAAATGCTGCTCTGTTATGACCACTTAAAAACATGGAACCAGATTTTACTTCACTAGTTTTCTAATTCCAAATATTGTATCTCCTTCACTTGCAGCTGTTTGAAAGGGGACATTTTCATCTAATCCTCAACCACAAATACCAAAAACCAGAAGAATGTAATGGTGCTGAACAGGAAGTGTTTCTCACTTGGACATAAATCTTACAGAATGAGGAGGTGCATCGCTGCATTATAATGTCAATTTGAGACTCTCAGTAAACATTATTTTCTTTATTGACTTCTATGTCCCACTTAATTAATTGTTCAGTCAATAAAAATGTAAGAAAATTGTGAAAATTGTCCATCGCAATTTCCCAGAACCTCAGGGGATGTTGTCAAATTGCAAATTTGTCACATGAACCATGCAAAACCTAAAGATCCTCAATTTGCAAAGCAGCAAATCATCACATTTAAATTAATAAATACTTGGAGTAGTTGCTTCATAAAACTAAAACTTGATAAAACAACAATAAATCTTCTATTGATTGACTATTACAATTATTAGTAATTATTCTGGCTACATGGCTCATAGTCGAAAACAGAGTAGTGGCGTCCTCACCTGTCCTTGCCCGTCTCCTTCTTGAAGAGCTCATCAAACTGCAGCATTTTCTGCCAGGAGATGATGTAGACTTTGAGTTTGGGCAGCACCTGGTTCATCAGACGCAGGTTGTTGTACACCAGGCCCTTCCCATCGCGCCTCATGTAGTTGCTGGGTCCCCAGAAGATGAACACCGTGTCCTGGCTGGCGTTGAGCAGCTCGTGGCGACTCCTCAGGACTCGCTGCATGCTGGAGTGAGCGATGACTCTCAGGGAGGTGCGGCGGCCGACGTCGCGGGCGTAACCCCTGGCGGTGGGGGCATCGTTCATCCGGATGACGCACTCGGCCCGGTCGATCTCTTCGCCTCGGCCGCCTCCGATGAGGTGACCGGAGCTGGTGACCAGGGCGCAGGTGTGGCAGTGCATCTTGAGAGGCTGATTGGTAGAAACAAGAGAAACAGGAATGAAGTAAACAGAGAAAGGAATAAACTTTCTCTTATAAATACCTGCTGTGCATCAAAATATTTGGTGTGCTCATCTCCCTGTGGATGCACTCGCAGCACAGCAGCAGAATTTTTCTGTTAGTTTTGCACCGTATTTGTTTGACGGTCTACAAAACCTTTTTTTTTTTTTTTTTTTTTTCCATAAGTCAAAAATGCTCTGAAGTTCTGTTTAGCCGTGGTTTATACAGAAATATGCAAAGCGTACAGAAATGCACACCTAGGGGAACTTTGGTAAAAAGCTTCACTGTGTGTTTGAGGCAGAAAATGCTTTGTTGACAAATGGGTAGCAACAGAGCCTCCTGGGTATATGTAGCTTGTCATATTGCTTTGAGATTGCTAGAAACCCCGGGGTCTTACAAAGGATTCACCTTAAATCTTTCTCTCACTCGCACACAGCAGTGGAATGTGTGTTTACCTCCAAAAACCGCCACTCTGATGCATAAAATTCATGCGGAATGCTTATTGAATATGAACCTCTTCGGTATTTAGCACAAAATATATTTGACACAGGAAACTCTTGAAACTTACTGACAATACAATCCAGTGCACTTGACAAACATTTGGATTAACAGCATGCACTCCCACAAAACGCTGATGGTTGCTGACAAATCATCAGGAGGAAACAGAGCAGAGATTGTTCCCACCTGAACAGGGACGCGTCATGGACAGTTGTAAACAAAAGTTTACTTGTCAGGACCATGTGTGTTATGACTCCCAGGCTCTGAATTTTCAATGATGGAGTCATTGAAACACATGCATCTGAAAAAAACTGTTGTGCATTTTGGTTCTTTCATAGATTTATTATAGGTGTTTTGGAAATACGACAAAATCTCCTGGGTCCAAAATATACATGCAGCAACGCTAATATTTGGTTAAGTGTCTCCTTGCTTTTGGTAGCTGTCCACAAGCTTCTGGTGTTTTTAAATGCAGTTTAACTAAATTTGTTTTCTTTCTCACACAGACTTGTTTCTTCATCACAGTCCATAGTTCTTAATGGGGTTTAAGTCCAGATTCTGGGGAGACCAGTCCAAACCTTTAATTCTAGCCTAATTTTTATTTATTTTTTTGGCCTTTTCATTAGATAGGATAGTCAAAGGAGAGACAGGAAAGTGGGGGAAGGGTTGCAGCAAAGGGCCATGAGCGGGATTGGAGCCCATGGCCGCTGCATCGGGGACTACAGCCCCTATACATGGGTCACCAGCTCAACCAGGTGAGCTATAGCGGCGGCCCGATTCTAGCCTGATTTAACCATTTCTTTACTGCTTTTGATGTGTGTTTGAGGTCATTATCTTGTTGAAACACCCAACTGTGTTCAAGATCCAACCTTCTGGCTGCTGATTTTAGGTTTTCCTGAACAATGTGGAGGTAATCCTCCATCTTCATTATTCCATTTCCACTATTTCTGTAAAGCACCAGTTCCGCTGGCAGCAGAACAGCCCCACAGCATAATACTGCCACCACCATGCTTGTTGTTGTTGGGGTTAAAGATCTCACCTTCTCTCCTCCAAACATATTTCTGGTGATTGTGGCCAAAAAGTTAAGTTCTTGTTTTATCTGACCACAGAAGACATTTTCTGGGTGGAGCTTCCTTCTCAGCTCATGGCGATGTAAAACGTACTCGAATGTGGACACTGACTTCCTTCCAGCATCTTCGAATTCATTGCAAACCTGTTTTTTTGGTGATTAATTGTGGCTACACAACTGTACCATATACTTTACATTTACAAACAATTGATGCACAGTGGATTTGGGATCTGTAGCTGCTCTGAAATAGCTCAGAATGGCTTTCCTGACCTTTTCAAGTCAATGATTTGCTTTTTCAGGCCTTTGCTGAGCTTCTCAGACTTTACCACCACAGTGTTTGTGGCCGAGTCTGATGAATGTGAATCAAATGGGCCCTATTTGAATCAGCACAGAGACGTCTGCAGCTGTAGTCAATGTTCTCACAAGATGTTAAGAGGCCATGCCAAGAAGATAATTTGATTAACACGACTGATTAACTTGCAATTCAAGTTGCTGTTTGTATACTTTTGGCCCAGAAGATTTTGTCACATTTCCAGAATATTTATAATAAATTCACAGATGATTGTTTCAGTGATTTCACCATAGAAAATTATAGTTATGGGAGTCATTGAAAATTCAAGACCGCCATGATGTACATGGTCTTTACAAGCGTATCTAAGCTTTTGTTCATAATTGTTTGTAGCGTAATGCATGCAGCATGTGGGCACATGGGTATAGTACTAACATACTTGCTTCTTTTCATTACTAGAGGTTTTTTTTTTACGTTTTGTTTTGCTTATCTTGAAATGTTAATTCACTGTGGCCTCCAGTTTTTTGTTTGAGCTGTCACATCTCTCTCTCTCTCTCTCTCTCTCCCTTTTTAACATCATTGTTAAAAAAAATAAAGTTAAAAACTGAGGATGAAACAAACACTGCTGCACACACAAAATGAATAAATAAAAAAATCTGAGCTGAGCTGAAAAAACTGGTTGAGAAAATTATGACTTGAAATTAATTTTGATATTCAGTGAACCAATTATGTCTCATTTTGAAGCAAATGTTATTTCAAAAGATGGCTCCAGATTTTAATTTTATTTTTTTAATTTGCGTGTCTTCTAAAGGCTTCAACATGATAATAAATTGAATATCTTGTCTACTTGGACTATTTGGCTATTTTACAAGCCAACATGATTAAGCAAGAAGATAAACATCAGATTAACTAAATTAACTGATAAAAATAATCATTAGTTGCAGCGGCGCAGCCAGATTTAATAATAACTCAAAGTCCTTGTCGTGCACCACCGAATGCAACATGCTAATTTGTTGTTTCTAAGCTACATTTACGACCATAATTACAAACATAATGTGACGTCTGAAACCACATCCAGTCTCGGTTTGAGACGACGCCGGCTCTCGCATTAGTACTTGTAATGTTCATAAAGCGTGCGGCCTGTTTTTCTGCACAGCATGCACATAAATCATTAACACAGACCTACTTATGTATGATAAGCTGTTCTACATGTTGTTGGTGGGCGTGTGCGACGCTGCTGCACATGTACTTTGCATGTGTGAATGGGGGGGGTGTGTCCTGGACTTTCCACACGGACCCCGCAATGAAAATCAATGATATGCAAACCAGACCCTGCAGAGGCATGTAATGTGGCCTGAAAAATCACTCTGGCAGAAATGTGGCAGTTATTTACATTCTTAAAGCCATAACAAATTTGCATTATCTCGGCATTAATAAGAACAAATGTTTGGAGCTTGGTGTTCGTAGGCTGTGGAGTTACATCCGTCTTTATCGTGGTCTATCGGCTGACTTTGACTTAGCGGCAGATTAGCAGCAGAACAGGCTCATCTGGTTAATGAGACCTTAAGGTGCAGGAAGAGGAGATGGAAAAAAAGGTGGGAAATAAAAGGAGACTACAGAAGGACATGATAACGGAAAGGATGGCGAAAGAGAAGGAGACACATGGAGGCAGTGAGAGCCACCCTGGTGTCACAGCGTTTGACGAAATGTTGAGCTAATGAGGTCCTGGTGGTCTACATCCTCACCAGCAGCAGCAGCAGCAGCAGCAGCAGCATCCATCCATTCCTCCCATCTCCCCCTGCCCTTCCCTCTCCCACCTGGCAGCGCCTTGACAGCCAATCTGGCTGTAGAGCTGCAACACCAGTGGAGCAGGTCAGAAATCCCATTTTTACTCAGGGGCTTTTAAGTGGCTTCACAGACCTTATTCTCTCTTCCTCTGTCTCGCGGAGAATTTAAGTGGGCCTTGCTGGCTAGAATTGGCCCCTTCAGGGAGCTTGGTCAGGCTATTACCGAGAAATAGGCTGGATGGTCTGGACAAGGCTCTCCATTTCAGCCGGAATTATGTGACCTGTCCAATGTGGTGGTTTGGGTTGAGGCGATAGAGTCAACGTAAACTGTGCTTTACCTCAAGATGCGGACGCGAGCGGCGGCGGCTGACTCCAAGTTTCATTCGAATTGAATTTTTCCTCGAAAAAACCCCCACTGAATGTTGTGCTGTGATTCGTAATTTATGCAATAAATGGTTTATAATCCAAGACACATTTATCATTTATGTATTTCAAACTGCATGCTTTGTTCTTCATTAGTGAGCAAAATACCTTTCATCATAATTAAAAGATTTTCTACATTTAATCTAAAAAAGAAAATAAAAAAAAAATGTGTGTTTCATCAATGTCTGCTGCAGCAACCTGATCAAAGCTGTGATCAATAATGCAACTCCAGTGAATATCCAGAATAAATAATGGATTCCTATTACTCTTGGGCGCTTTTGTCTTACTGGAAAGTAAAAAAATAGAAGAGATTCAGGAAACGTTTTCTCTGCTGTGCTATAAAAAGCAGTTGAACTCCTCCAAAAGTGCTTCTGAATTTTCCAAGAAGCCATTTTTCTTATTTGAGAAAATTCAAGGGAAGACTAAACAATTCCAGGAGGTAAATTCTCAGTCAAGCCATCTCACTCCACTGTTCTTCCTAAAGTGAGTCATCTCCAGTTAGAAATGGATTTGGGAGTTGGGAGGAGTGGCTCCACCGACACTTACTGTGTGAGTCTTTAGGGTGCAGTGGAAAGTCGTTTAATCCAACAGATGCTTGCTATTAAGAGCAATTTATATGCTTTCTTTTATTTGACTTCACTGCATTTATCCACCCTCTACACATACTGGTTGGATTAATATTTAACATCAAAAGTGTAATGTTGTAAAATGCATAGACCATAGACTGTATAAAAGATGGACGTAGCTTCCGTGACGTCACCCGTTGGTTTCTGCACTGAGAAAATGAAGCCAGGGTTTTGCTACTTCCTGGTTGACATCTTGGATGTTTGGAGCCAGTGACGCAAAAATCGTGGGAGGGGGGCGGAGCCATAGGAGCAGCGATTGGTCAGACGGATTGAGAGGCGGGCC